GGTGAGTAATCAAGTTAATTGTAATTTTATAATTTAGTAAATTTTGTTAATTTTTATAACATGTTAGTGTTAAATTTAAATTTAGTAAACAGTAATAGAATTTGTTGGGATGAAGTGATGACGAAATTATTATTGCAACAAGTTAGTGCACATATATATTTATTTGGTCATCATACATATAAAACTATTTGGAAGTCTGTTGGAGGTGGAATTAATGAAAAAGGATACAATGTTAGTGCTGAGCATTACAATAGTAAATGAAGGAGCTTGAAGAATAGATATAAATGTAAAAGATAATATTGAGCAATCTGGTGCTGGTAGACAATATCAATATCAATATGGTATTCACTACGATGCTATCAATGACATTCTTAAAAAACATCCAGAAGTAACATCACTATCCTTAGTGTCCAACACACTGCTGGTTTCAGAATAACTGCTGGTGTAGATATAAATTAGAATCAATAAGTCTCATTAACATTTTACTACTAAGTTTTTGAATTTTACCAAGCCTATTTGTCACATTACTACATGAAGATGTTTCTGTAGAATTATCAACATTATTCTCAACTGTATCTACATCAGCAATTATTCTGAAACCACCAGTGTGTGTGTGCTGGACGCTAAGAATAGTGGTACTTTTAGATGTTTCTTAAGAATGTCATCGATAATATCGCAGTAAATCCAATATCGTCGTCTACCAGCACTAGATTGTTTATGTTATCTTTGATACATTTATATCTTTTCTTCAAGCTCCTCCATTTATTGTTGCAATGCTCGGCACTAACATTATATCCTTTTTCATTAATACCAGTGGCAACAGACTTCCAAATAGTTTTATATGATGACCAAATAAATGTATATGTGCACTAACTTGTTGCAATAATAATTTTGTCATTATTTTATCCCAACAAATTCTATTACTGTTTACCAAATTTAAATTTAACACTAACATGTTATAAAAATTAACAAAATTTATTAAATTATAAAATTGCAATTAACTTGATTACTCATCATTATCAACCATAGATTGTATTTCTTCTATTTCTTTTTCTGCATAATTTTCCATATAAAATCTAAAAGTAAATAAATAAATAAAACGTTTAAAAACTTATGAATATCAAAGAAATCATATCATTCATCTTTCATCAATCTAAATTAAACTTTAATTTGAATTTGTCTTTATTGCATCTACATTGTATCTACATTTACAATTTACATTTTTAAATAATATATGACTAACAGCAATTAGTAATTATAGTGTAAAAGTTATATATATGTATATTACATATACATTTAATAAAAACAATAATTTACATATAAATTTACTTATATAAAATATAATATATATTCAAATACATAATAATGCTAATTTGACATTTTCGTATATATATATATATATATATATATATATATATATATATATATATATGTGTGTGTGGCGTGTGTGTGTACATATATGTGTGTGTATATCCCTACATTATTGAATAAATATAATATTTACCTCCTAAAATACAATTTACCACCTCGTTGAATATAAGAACTTGCGAGAACCTGAGACACTATATGGCAGATCATGAAATACTAAAATTAAATTTCCTGTTACTTTCTCATTCATTCAACCTTCATCTGCTATTTGCGGGCAAGGATGAAGAAACTAATAGACTAGACTAGTGCAACTGTCGTCCAGCAAGAAGACATTCATCAAGCTAGATAAATAATGAATATATTAATTAATTTTTTTCC